CAAAAACAGTGTGTAAAGACCTGAGTAATGTTGAGAATAGGTGAGTAAAGATGTGTAAGCGTATAGGTGAATATAGACCAGTAAAATGCTTCTTCATTGCCAGTATTGTGGCCCCTTGCACACACAAGTTCCTGCGTAAACATCAGTAAATATGACACCCATGTGCAAGGGACCTAAATAATCTCAGCATTTTTTACTCCCCTGAGATTAGAAGGCTATAAGGGTGTCGTGGTGCCTACTAGAAAACTTATGAAGAGGCTCGCAATAAGTGCTTGGACTCACTTTCCTTTGAAATGAGCTTCTGGATGCCCTAACGCCCAGATTTTATGTTCTGAAAATACTTGATTTCAAGCCAGATGTATTTCAGGTCTCCCACCAATTTCCACACTGGACTTTATCATTATGTGAAATCTTCTAGCCTTTTTTGTAGATGGTACAATGTGAGACACACCCTGTTCTTTACAGAGTGTTTTGCTTTCCCTGATGTACCTATCCCCACCACCTTCCATTGTACTTCCCATTCTTTTCAACTGCTTTTGTACTAAAAAATGTATAAATAAATGCAAATATAAAAAAAAAAATGTATAATTCTCAAAAGCTCAATTGACAATTGCCTTATGATGTTTTATTATTGCGTAGGGTTTTTTCACTCATCACAAGTTTTCCCAGATTGTCGGTTTTCTAGGGTATCGCATCAGATGGCACCTCCTCAGACAGGAATAAGAAATACATGCCAGATACACTTTAAAAGAAAGTCCTGCTGAACTTGCAAGTTGTGTTTACTCCTTCCAGAGGAGACACCTCACTTGGAACCTGGTAAAGGGAGGCTTAGCCCAGGATTCTTGCCTGCAGTTCTAGACTCAACCCTCTTTGTCTCACCCTACTTGATGGTGTGGGGTTTTTGTCCTTTCTTGGCTGGAAAAGGTGTGACCCCTATTTCTTTTCAGTACCTGTGGAAGGATAGTACTGGAAGGTGGCTTACCCCCTTGGTGGGTTGCCCTGAGCTGGTGTGATTCCCTTCTGGCAGCAGTAGTATGAGAACATCCTTGCTGGGGGATGCACTAGGTTAGATTTTTTTTTTTATAATCAATCTTTATTAACATTTTCCGATGACATAAAATAAACAGTAACTCAGCAGATATACTTCAATCTTACAAAGAAGTAATACATACAAAGAAAGAATTTCCAGTAATTCAAACAAATGAAGAAAAAGAGAAGAAAAAAAAAAAATCAGTCCGCAGAAGCAGTATGGGCCAAATAGCATTAGGAAAAACCCAAGCTACCCGAAAAGACTCTTGCAGCTGGCATTTCAGGAGTAAAACATCCATCCTTGCCAAATGTCTTTAAATTTCTCCCCCTGACTCCTAACCAGGTGGAACCAGTGCTCGGCATCCATTATTTTATTCACTTCCCGTTTCTATTTCGATAGCGTACGGCATTCAGACTGTTTCCAGAACCTAGGAACCAAAGATCTGGCCGCATTCAGAAGATGGGGTGTAACACTACGCCTGTAGGCCTTAATAGAGGTTGAAGTCATATGAAAAAGTAAACAGAAGGGAGATTGCTCTAGAGGGCTCAATGTCAATTTCTGTATCCATGGGAAAATTGCAGTCCAAAAGGGCGCAATTTTAGGGCAGGTCCACCAGATATGGAGAAAGGTACCTTGATGACCACAGCCTCTCCAACAGAGGGAGTTAGCAGTAGGAAAAATCTGAGCTAAACTGGACGGGGTGCGATACCATCGAGTAAGAAATTTTATAAGAGGATTCCTGAACACGGGAGCTGATAGAGGAGGAATGTGTAATTTTAAGAATCCTATGTATCTGCTGAGGGAAAAAAAAATTAAGGCCCAGTTCTTTCTCCCATTCCCTCAAAAAAAATATGGAGCTGATATGGAATACTCTTTCAACACCAATTTATACATTTGGGATAATAAATGTCTAGAATCAGGAAGTGCGGTACACATACGTTCATACGCTGTAAGGGTCTGTTTAGGGAGTAAAGACATAAAAAAAAGTCATTCAGTTGGCAGTGTCGCCATGTATCAAAGGGAAAGGTTCCATATTTAGAGAGCAACAGAGGAAGGGATAAAAGGACGCCCTCAGGAGCAAACTTAGCACAGGAAAAATCCCCATCAGCACCCCATGACTGGAAAAATCTAATATCCTCCGCTGGGGAAAACCATGGGTAGCCCCCCAATGGGTCCAATGGGGAAGTCTCAGGAGCATACAACCCGGTCCCATTCATTCTGTCCCAAACCATCAGGGTGGTACTGTATTGAAGCACCGCAAACTGAAACCACTTTTTTTTTAATTCAAAGCAAACTCACCCATCCATCCTTGTCTCTATGCTTTGTTTTGTTGAGAAATCACTTTGAATAACAGACCCTTAGCATTTTAGCCGTGGCCATTTTGTGTAAGGGCTGATGACTCATGTATCATTAATTCCTGCAGTCCATCTGCCCTTAGCTTAGGCATGCAGGCTTAGCTGAAAAAAAACCCTCCTCCCTTCCTCCAGATGAAAAAATAAAAATTTTAAAACTTCTGGTATGTATTTTGACCAAGGCTAGAGAGTTGAGTTGAGAGAGTCTAGTCATGCTTTAAGTACTGTATTTATGTTCGCAATATGACCAGTGTCCTACTGCCTAGTCCTTTCAGTTACTGTAGGTATACAGTAGCTTTGTTAAGAGCTGCACCACCATGACACAAATTTGGAGTATGTAGGCTGCTATTCCTGCATAGTGTGAGGGAGGCAAAGGTTCTTACATTATTTTTATGTGGTACAAAGCTAATGTGACATTAATCTACAGCCATGTGGCTTGTGTGTAGTCGCTGTGTTTGTGACCCTTCTTTTCTATCTGATAATATACTGTATGAAGTATATTGACAGCGCATTTTAGCTGTGTACTCTGTTTTTTTCTGATATGGCATAAACTTTCCTCTACAGTTTAGGCCTCCTCCCTATGATTTTTATATCTGTGTTGAGAAGTTCACTTTACCTGATTCCCCCATACTTTGCTACTCGTGTCAAGTCCTGTGCAGGGAGAACTCTCCAAGCATTTGTGCGTATCATAATAATCTTTGTCACTTATACTCTCATGTGCTGTCCTAGAAGATGATTTTGGAAATCCAGAGTTATACTTACTGGTAACTCAATTTCCAGTCTTACAGGACAGCTGGAATCCACCTTGTGTTGAGTTCTTTACTGTTGTATATTTTTTGCTTCAGATTACGTCCTTCAGTTCTCATTTACTATTGACTAGTTCACCAGAGGGACGTCCTTTTAAAGTTTTTTTTGTTGATTGCATTTTCTTATCCTGTTGAAGGAGGTGCATATCTCTCATGTGTTGTCCTGGAATACTCCTGGAAATGGTCACTAGTAAGCTCTGGATTATTTTCACCCTCACAAGTCTGTGATATTATTCTTCACTTCCACTTTCCCTGGGACAGGAAGGTAGAGAAAATCTCCCCAAAGTGGATACAGCAAGTAAACAGAATTGTATCCTTTGTTCACACCCTCCAAAAATTCAAAATACATTTTAATTTAAATTCCACTTTAGGAAGATAGGTTTTACATTTCTGCCATAAATAAAGCAGATAAAATGGACTTTAAAGTTATACATTTAGTTAAAAATACTATAGTTTTAAGCAAATTTTAGAAACTTGAAGCAAATGGGGTTTTTTTTCCATATCAGTGCTGCTGATAATTAGCTGCTTTAGGGCACTACATCATTGCACTAGACCAGCTTCCATCATCTGTGGACTAAGTATACACAATGTATGTCAGCACGGCTGCTTATAATCTTGACCCGGGAGGGACAATTTGGATACAGTTGTCGCCATATAACTGGATGTGCCTGAAAATTAATTTTTGTGGTAGGATCACCAGGTATTATTTTAATGAAGCAGCAGCTTTAAAAAGTTTGAAAACAACTCTCATTACAGTTTGAGATTGTCATGGCAAGCAGTAATATATATATATATATATATATATATATATATATAATGTTAGTGGTATTGTAACAAAGTGGAAGCAACTGGGAACAACAGCAACATGGCAACAAAGTGGTAGGTCACGTAAAAATGACAGAGCGGGGTCAGTGCATGCTGAAGCACACAGTGCACAGAAGTCACCAACTGTCTGCAGAGTCAATAGCTAACAACCTTCAAACTTCATGTGACCTTCAGATTAGCACAACTACAGTGCATAGAGAGCTTCATTGTATAGGTTTCCATGGCTGAACAGCTGCATCCAAGCCTTACATCACCAAGTGCAATGCAAAGCGTTGGATGCACTGGTGTAAAGCACACTGCCACTGGACTCTAGAGCAGTGGAGACGTGTTCTCTGGAGTGAGGAATCACGCTTCTCTGTTTGTCAATCTGATGGACATGTCTGGGTTTGGCAGTTGCCAGGAGAACGGTACTTGCCTGACTGCATTGTGCCAAGTGTAAAGTTTGATGGAGGGGGGATTATGGTGTGGGTTGTTTTTCAGGGGTTGGGCTTGGCCCCTTAGGTAAAATGAAGGGAAGTCTTCATCTGACATCTGTGCCTGACCTCACAACTGTGCTTCTGGAAGAATGGGCAAACATTCCCATAGACACACTCCTAAACCAGAGTTGAAGCTGTTATAGCTACAAAGGGTGAGCCAACTCAGTATTGAACCCTACGGACTAAGACTGGGATGTAATTGAAGTTCATGTGTGTGCAAAGGCAGGCATCCTAATACTTTTGGCAATATAGTGTGTGTGTATATATATGTATATGTGTGTATAAAATATATATATATTTTTTTTTTTTTTTTTTTTTTTTTTTTAATCTCTTGGAAATTACTTGAAAGAAGTGATCTCTGTTCCTTCCAGAGATGCCTGCTCACTCCTGGTGCTGTTCCTATGCTGTGAATGTTTACTTGGTTTCAAGATCTTGCTCATGGCTGCCCTGTATTTCTGTGACATAATGTTGTACAACATTGGATTGATGGAGGCACTAAGGTAGAAGAGAATCATAGATATGAGGTTAAAGTACTGTGTAAGATGATATAACATGAACTCTCCAATTCCAGTCCAGGCAAACAAGAGACGACCAACGTGGAAAGGAAGCCAGCACAGCACAAAGGACAGAACAACGAAAGCTGTAAGAAACCAAAATAAAACTTTATTGGTTGATTTTCTGGTCCCTGAGAATCAAAAATGCCCAAATAACAGACATTACTGTTTGTTTTGGGGGTACTTTTTTTGTATAACATTCAAGTGGTAGTAAACTCCCGATTTTTATTTTTATCTACAGGTGCACTGGTTAGGAGATATTTACTTGGTTGGCAATCGGTGACACCGCATACTCACGCTGTTCCTTCAGAGCTCTGTGCTCTGGCTGTGATGCCTGCACGCATCATGAGTGACGTCATCGCGGCTTGGCCATTTAAACGGCCCCAGCCCACGAACCCAGAAGGAAAACTAGGTGAAGATGCATTCTAGCACATTATGCCTTTATCTTGAAGGGAGAATTTTTTTTTAAGTTTACTACCACTTTAAAAAACAGTAAATCAAGGAAAGGAAATAATGAAATGGCTCAAATTAGTTGAGACATACTTAGGTAAAATAACCAATTATGTTCTTGGCAACTGAAGACCTGAAAAAATGGATATAACTACAATGGCTCTCTTTTGAGTTTCTAAAACAATGGAAATATGCTGTTAATTTAAAGCAGGCTTTCTTAGCCATTTTTTCCCCAGAGGAACCCCTAAAATAATTTTCAAGTCTGGTGAAACCCTTACCAAAGCCAATTCATCTGAGTCAAAAGGAGAAAATGCCCCTTAATTGGTGGTCAGTAGGGAGAATGCCAACATTACAGACAGTTAAAAAGATCATTGGTATCATGCCGCTGGGTTTACCAAGTGACATTGGCCCTGGGACTTTGACAGCCACAGATCATGAACCTCTACTCAACCTCTTTGTTAGTTTTGAATAGTGTGGAAGGATATGAACCCGTTACTGTTTTATTTTTGTCCGTGTTCATTTTAGGGAAATGCATTCCCTATTTGTTCTGGGAACTACTGTTTCTAGGACCAAACGTAGGGGAACTGTTAAATGTTGAATTGCGATCTAAACAGGAATGAAGGGGAAATCTTTCTATGAAAATGTCTATTGTTGTGTGAACTTTTTAAGAGTAGCTTTGGCTCAACTTGGAGAGATTTGCTTTTACTTCTCCAAGATTTGGCTTTATACACTCACCAGCCACTTTATTGGGTACACCTTGCTAGTACTAGGTTGGACCCACTTTTGCCTTCAGAACTGCCTTAATTCTCCATGGTATGGATTCAATAAAGTGTTGTAAACATTCTTCAGAGATTTTGGTCCATATTGACATGAATTACTGTTGCCTTTCTATCATCTCAAACCAATCTGTCTGTTCTCCTCTGACATCAACAAAGCCTTTTTGTCCGCCCAACTGCCACTTACTGGATATTTGTTTCTTTTTCGGACCATTCTCTGTAAACCCTAGAGATGGTTGTGCATGAAAATCCCAGTAGATCAGCAGTTTTTGAAATATTCAGACCAACCCATTTGGCACCAACAACCATGCCATGTTCAAAGTCACTTAAATCTCCTTTCATCCCCATTCTGATGCTCGGTTTGAACTTCAGCGAGTTTTCTTCGCCACATCTAGATGCCTAAATGCATTGAGTTGCTGCCATGTGAATAGCTGATTAGCAATTTGTGTTATCGAGCAATTGAACAGGTGTACCTAATAAAATGGTCGGTGAGTGTATATAGCTTCAGTTCTATACTCGCTGCTCCAGTATACAGGAGATTCTGTCAGTTTGCCCAATCATTGCAAGGAGGTTGGCATTTCATTTGTGTTTTGGTGTTTGCCTGCACTATGGTCCCACTCAAATGAGGTTTCCTAGGACCAGCGCAAGACATAAACAAAAATGGGCTTCTGTGCAAGAATAATTTTTGGGCCTTCAATTTAATTGCTGCCCAAGCACATACGCTTATTTTCTATATAAATATAGACAAATAACCAAAACCATGAGCAATTTTGAGGCATCTTGAACAATGCCTCCCACTTCTTAAATTCCTTAGGAATGAGCAGCATCTAGGTCTATGTTACAACAAGAGGGGGTACAAACTCTAACCTGGCCAACATCTAGTATAAATTGGTGTCCTGCATTATGGCTGCAGTACCAACTGACTGCTACTTTTGATAAATGGACTCCTTAATGCATGTATGATTGTGAGGGATACCCTGAAGCAAAAAATAAAACCTGTACTCATGAAATCCAGGAAATTCCTAAGAGCCTTTACATTTTTCTCACAGCTCTAAAATTAGCAAGTCTAAAGCTGCAATGGGGGCTAAACAAATACTGCTTGAATGCAAGCAGCCTGTATATTCGCACTTTACTCTAGGCGTATTTCTTCCAGATCTGTGCAATAATCTTTTGTAAAACAGCTCCTACACTTTACCTCTATACAACAGTTTCCTGTATAAATAAAAGTAATCACTGCTGCTCCCTCCCTTGGCTCAGGGTGAATGGTTTTGTGTCCATCCCCTGTAGATTTCTTTGGGTAGCCTGTAGTGGAAGGACATCCTAGGTTCCACCCACAGCTCTGCTTAGGGTATGTACAACATATCCATGATGTCACTGTTACTTTATTATGGTAATGTCTGTGTTTGCTAATGCATTTAGAGCACTCAAAGTGGACTTTATATCCTTTGATATAATTTATTGATATAAATAACTCCTTTTTTTAAAGCAGAACTTTACTCATACCCATAGCAAATGTGCGGTAAATTTCCTACAGCATTGTTCCTGTTTCTTCTTACCGGAGGCTGCCATTATGTTAAAGCTCAGAGCCCCTGAGCAGCAGTAAATCTTTAGGATATCAGCAGAAAGGCCTCTACCCTTTCAGCACAGTGCCAAATAATATAACATAACTGAGCATGTGCTGAACAGGGTGAGACAGTGTATTACTAGATTTTAAAAAGTATAGGTACTTATTTTTAATGTTTTCTATAGCTATACCTGCAGAAGGGGCCAGCATGACGTGAACTAGCAGGATGTAATTTTCTGACTAAAGTTTTACTTTAAGCCTTTCTGTAGAATAATAGGGCCATGCCATGAAAAAGGTTTCAACAGAATAAAAGTGAATTCAAACTGTTATCAAAGCACATTTTGCAGCTGGCATTACATTCTGCTGTGAAAGCTTTAGATTATCTGGCTACAATGTGTTCTCTACTCTTGGACAAAAGCCTATATCATGACCTGTTTGTAGAGCAAAACCATAAAATGTCTTTCCTTCTAGCAGTAACTTCCCTGGTAATTGCTATCACACTGTAGAGTACATTACTTTGATGGACATACAGTATGGGAAATGCTTGCTTTTTTTATTCTGGCCTTCAGCATGAAAGGAAGAAAATGTCATGGCCGTATGGAAATGTTTCACTGACTGACTTGCATTTGGATAGATTTTTTTGTAGTTAAAATTTATGTTGTATCTCTGGCTTTTACTATCAAATGAAAGCTTGTCTAAAGACAACGTTTTGTGTCTGTTGGTTCTAGACAACATAGCTCCCATTAAACATTTTTATCCATTCAGTAGTTAGTCTTCTCCCATCTACTTTCTTTGACCTAACATTTTCAACATTTATGGGAGATATTACTGTAGCTCCAAGGGCGGACTGACCATTTGGAAACTCGGGCACTGCCCGAGGGCCCAGGGTCAGTAGGGGGCCCCATGAAATGCCCCTGGCACCTTTTTCATAGGCTTTTTTGCATTTGGGCAAGGACTCAGGGGCCCCATGATCCTCTAGTGCCCGGGGGCCCCATGAGTTGTCAGTCCGCCCCTGTGTAGCTCAAAAAAATAGCACGCAACCTGAGATTATGAAGTCTACTGTTGACCAGTGCTGACTTTATACTTTCACCCTTGAGGCCAACATTTTTGTACTCCCGCCCCCCCCCCCCCCCCCACACGTTACTGATTGGTCAAATGTTATAGCCACACGAAGTATGTAGAAGCTTGGGACAAAAATGCTGAACGAGGTCATTTGTCTAGGCTATATCAGTACACATAGAACTAACAACTGAATGAAAAGTGAAAAACGGTTACCCTATTCTGTTAACAATTTGGTTCTAGGTGTGTGGACCCACAGTATGCTCCCTCTGCGCTCATTTATGCCCAGGGTACCAGGTTAAATACTTTTCCAACAGCTGGCATTCAACTCTAATCTCTGATGTTCTGGCTTATAGGCAGTATCTCAGCACCCTCACATACAATGCAGGGCTATTGTTCCTGCATTGTAATTGATGACATCATCAATTACATCATCATGTTGGAACATCTTCGAAAACATAATGCAGCAGGCCATCTTATAAACGGGTTAGGTAAGTAAAAGTCCCTACTGCTGTTATTCTTGGAATAAATGAGCATTTAACCCTTGCAGTGCAGGGCTAGCCCCACTACAAGGGAATTTGTTGTCTTCCCTGGAGGTCAGCTTTAAAGGATAAGTTCACCTTTTAGACAAAAATAATAAATACACATTTTTTTACAGGTAAAAAAATGTGTATTTATTATTTTTGTCTACAGGAGCCTGGAAAGCATTGCACCAGTGATCAGTAGATTGCTGATGCCATGCAGGTCTCCTGCAGACCTGTCAGAATATCTGCTTGCCATACGGGATGTACAAGCAAGCAGATATACTGACAGGAAGCTTCAATGAACTACCACGGCTCTCCACAGTGCTGTGGTAGTTCATTGAAAACTACAAGCTGATAGCCACTAAGGCCAGGCTATTTTCAAATTTGACAGATAGTACGGGGAGACTTCTCCTCGTATTATCTGTCAGGGAGAGGGGGGGGCTGCGGCAATGGGAACATGTTACATGTTCCCAAAGGTGAACCTATCCTTTAAGGTTTGTGTTTAGCTGTTTTCCCATTAAAGTCAGCACATGGTGGCATGTCACTGTGTTGCATGAAATGAGTGATTATAGGAAATACTAAGAGGTATATTTAGGCCAGGTTCACATTTATGAAGGTGCGGGAATATGTGTAAAGCGCACGTTTCTGCACCTGCAGGCTAAATGTGCTACTCTTTAGCAGACACGTGAGGGTGCCACTAATTTCAGAGTGTGGCTACAACTTTGTAAAGGAACAGGGACATTTTTCCTGTGTTTCCTGAAGGTACAACAGCCCATTTAGATGACAGAGCTGCTGTGTCCACGCAAACACAGCATGCAGTAAATGGCTAGATGTGAACCTAACCTTATAACGGATATGCTGGTTTTAAAGCACATTGCCAGATGAGAAAATATCCCCAATCTTCCCTACCTCTTTGTCAATTTGCAGAATGGGGAAAAATACCATGCTGGCTATCTATACTGATATGGACTGGGTAATGTTTTAGGAAAGTAAGGATGCCCCATCGTTTGATTTTTGGGGTGTTTTTGAATTCAATCCGCTGTAGGTTGATAATTTTCATTTCCATCAAAGTGAAAAAATTATTCAGCAGGCTAGTCCATTTTGCTGAAATTGCATTGCAGCAACTCAAAATGGTACTCAGTATTTTGTATGGCCCTCACGTGCTTGTATGCATGCCTGACAACATCAGGACATGCTCCTAATGAGACAACGAATGGTGTCCTGGGGTATTTCCTTCCAGATCTGGACTGGGGCATCTCTGAGCTCCTGGACAGTCTTAGGTGCAACCTGGTGTCGTCTGATGGACCGAAACATGATATCCCAGAGGTGTTCTATTGGATTTCGGTTAGGCGAGCGTGGGGGCCATTCAATGGTATCAATTCCCTCATCCTCCAGGAACTGCCTGTATACTCTTGTCACATGAGGTCGGGCATTGTCATGCACCAGGAGGAACTCCGGACCCACTGCACCATTGTAGGGTCTGACAATGGGTCCAAGGATTTCATCCCGATACCTAATGGCAGTCAGGGTGCCATTATCTAGCCTGTAGAGGTCTGTGCGTCCCTTCATAGATATGCCTCCCCAGACCACCATGACCCACCACCAAAACAGTCATGCTGAACGATATTACAGGCAGCATAATGTTCTCCACGGATTCTCCAGACCTTTTCACATCTATCACATGTGCTCAAGGTGAATCTGCTCTCATCTGTGAAAAGCACAGGGCGCCAGTGGTGATCCTGCCAATTCTGGTGTTCAATGGCAAATGCCAATCGAGCTCTACGGTGCTGGGCAGTGAGCACAGGGACCACTAAAGGATGTCGAGCCTTCAGGCCACCCTCATGAAGTCTGTTTCTGATTGTTTGGTCAGAGACATTCACACCAGTGGCCTGCTGGAGGTCATTTTGTAGGGCTTTGGCAGTGCTCATCCTGTTCCTTTGTCACGTACCTGATTGGAAGCTGAAATGACGAGGTCAGCCTCACTTGTGTCACTAGCCCTGACCCCACTGAAAGTGGAACAGAGGGTGTCTAGAGAGCAGGGGGACAAGAGCGCCAGCAGATGTTGTTTGCAGCTCTTGCAGTTGGAGACTTTGGAAGACTGATGAACCTCCGATTCAGGATCAGTAGTGATATGCAGAGCTGGTATGGTAGGTTGCCAGGTGTGCACCAGAGCAAGGCAGGAAGCTGGGATGGGAGACTGGAGCAATGTCATAGAAAGAGCCGGGGTCATCAACGGATGGACAGCGAGGTACCAAATCATAAGCAAGCCAAAGTCAGGAGCAGAGCCGAAGTCAGGAACAAGTATCAAGCAGGAGAGTAATCAGAGTCAGGTCAGGAACAAGCCGGGTCAGCAACAAGGAAATCACACAGGAACGAGCAGGAAACGGGGAACAGCTGAAGACCAGTCAGCACTCAGCACAGGCAGAGGCACCTTTTAAATAGTCCATCTGGCGCTAATCTTCACCATGCGTGTGTGCGTGCGTGATTGCGCATTTCTGTATGCATGCACACGTCTATTCACCAGCCATCTCACGGGAATTCCCTTACATCCTCCTTGCACAAAGGAGCAGATACTGGTCCTGCTGATGGGTTAAGGACCTTCTACGTCCCTGTCCAGCTCTCTTAGAGTAACTGCCTGCCTGTCTCCTCTCGTTCTCTTGAGATTGTGCTGGGATACACAGCAAACCTTCTGGCAATAGCACGTATTGATGTGCCATCCTGGAGGAGTTGGATTGCCTGTGCAACCTCTGTAGGATCCAGGTATTGCCTAATGCTACCAGTAGTGACACTGACCCTAACCAAAACTAGTAAAAAAAACACTCAGAAAAGATGAGTAGGGAAAAAAATGTCAGTGGCCTCCACCTGTAAAACCATTCCTGTTTTGGGGGTCATATCATTGTTGCCCTTCTAGTGTACCTGTTGTTGATTGAATTAACACCAAAGCAGCTGAAATTGATTAACAGCCGCCTCTGCTACTTAACTGACCAGATCAATATCCCAGGAGTTTAAATGACTTGGTGCTATACTCTGATTAAAAAGTGTTCCTTTAATTTTTTTGAGCAGTGTATATTGCTGGCCATACCTATGGTGGGCCTATTTACACCAGAGAACACACATTATGGTGTTGTTACAACATATCACAGCGTTGATGGTTTAAAATGTTTATTATTTCAAGTTAACTTAAAAACACCTTATTTAACTCTACGTTTAACAGTACTTTGTAATGCGCTGCCAAGCACTGTAATGCCTTGTTGTGCGTTGGGTTGCATAAAAATCCAAACTTGCATTTTATGCAACTTAACACCGAAGAACTTGGAACACTAATGAGTGTGTTCCAAGTGTTTTCTCAGTGTCCTTGCATTGAGCTGTATACTTCGATTGAGATCAATGCACCTGTTATGTATGAAGGAGCCCTAAATGCTAATTTATACATTTACACATTAGCAGTAGCCGCTTCCATATTTCTGCCTGGAAAGTTTTTTTCTTTAATAGTGTGTTTTCAAAAGCATGTGCAACCTGTGTGTGCCTACAATATGTGAATTAGGAAATGGTCTCTCAGTCTGTACCCTGATGGGTTTAGTGGTACTTTGTCCAAATGAATTCACTAGTTTAAAGTTTACTAAGAAATAATTACAAAAACAGCACTATTTTTCTTGCTACTTAAAACATAAAGAAATTATTTGGAAAACATATGTACACAAAGATAAAATTAATAAATGTCAAGGAGTCCTTGATATAATGTAATCTACACTAGGGGGTAATAGTTTTTTATAAAGTAGCACATGCTGGTTCATGCTGCAGAATTAAACTACCTGACAATTTCTTTGATCTTTATGGCCTATCTCTATCTCTGGTGAGATCTTTCTAATAGTGCTAGCGTGTCTGTACAATTGCTGTGACCATTATTATGGGTCCCTCTATCTGTGACTGATTTTTATTCTGTACTATATGGGTAAACGTTTGTGAACATCTGACCATAACACCTAATACCTTCTTGGACACATTTCAAAACCACAAGCAATAATATGAAGTTGCTCCCCACTCTTTTCAGCCATATCATACTCCATTCTCTTAGAAATGCTTTTCACAAGATTTGGGAGTTAATAGGAATTGTTGACTATTCAACCAGAACAGCATTTATTAGGTCAGGTACTGATGTTGGTGAAGACTACTTCACAAATCGGTGTTCAATAGGATTGAGGTTAACGCTTTGTGCAAGTCACTTGAGTTCTTTCAAACAAAACCTATCAACCCATGGGGGAGATTTACTAAAACCGATGTACACACAAGCTAGCGCAGCTGTGCACAGTAACCAATCAGCTTCTAACTTCAGCTTGTTCAATTAAGCTTTGACAATAAGACCTGAAAGCTGATTGGTTACAATGCAGAGCTGCACTAGATTCTATGTGCTCCAGGTTTTAGGCATACATGTCTTAATATTACCATGCTGCAACAATACCCTTACCTTTCACTGGAAACACCTGAATGCAATATTTTCAAAGGGTGTTCCCATAGTTCTGTTCATATGGGTGGGTGTGATGGTTAGGTCTCCACACACTTTTGACCATATAATGCAACAGGAGGTGCCAGGACAGACAAGGTGTGAAAGGAACATGCAAAGCTCAGGTGAACAGGAATGTAGTTATGAATAATGACAGGGAGATCTTGTGTTTAGATTATTTAGGACATATGGGAAGTCAGGAGCTCACTCAATTTATAAGGCTCTACTTAAAACTAAAATATACGTTTTCAATTTACTGGCCCTTTAGTAAAAGTAAGAAATATATATATATTTTAAAGTACAGAACCTTTTTCATGGTCATGCAGAGAACTAAAGTATTGGTAAGGTTTTATTCTGAATTATGGGAGTCTGGGTTATGGATCAAAAAGAAGAAAAATGAACATAAATGTGGGTCAAAACAACCGACCAAAAAATGACAACTAGACTGTCGCTGCTAATGATAACCTGGCCAACTTTGGCTTTAAACACCTAAAGCATAATGTCAAATATTTAACTTGTGACTCCAGTTGTGATCAGGCTTCACACTTCACAATGACATCTCAGGTGATGGCTTGGTTCATCTCCATTGAAGCAATCAATTGTACCAGCAACTGCAATGCTGCACACCAAGATGCAAAGTAATTCTATTCTTCCCTTATTAAAAAAGCCAGCAGGAAGGACCAGGATACGTTCCAACATGTTTCGAGCGAGGTACAGTGCTTTCTCAAAGAAAACATTCTCACTTAGCAGCATTCCTGTTGCTGGTACAATTAGATTAAAGAATGTTGCCTTCTTTTGCAAAATCTTACAAGTGTAGAACAACTTACCCAGCATTTTAACTGTTTGTTTGTGATGTTTCCCTCTGTTTGTAGCAGCTGGCTCCTGAATGCCATGTGTGTTCCTCCAAAGCTTCTTACAGATAAGTCCATAAAGCAGCACGAGAAAAAAAGAGTGGGTATGAAAAAGTATATGGTGGATACCCAAGTGACAATCCGCAGAAGACCACTTTCGGTGGAGCTTTCTAAGTGCCTGCATTCCATAGTTTCAGCAGGCTGAGCTCCAAGAGGGTGCTCTACACCAAAAAGAAATAAAACTGGTCCGGAAGTTACCAAAGCAATGAACCACAAAATACAGATAATGATTTTTACCCTCTTTTTGGTAATCATAATCTTGGCCTTCAATGGATAACAAATTGCAAGATAGCGCTCCACACTCACGGTGGTGATGTGAAGAATGGTACTGTATGTACAGGTCTCGCTCAGGTAGATCAGAAACTTGCAGATAAAGTCCCCAAATATATATGGCTTGTACTTCCAAATCCTGTACAGGTCTGAGGGCAGACCAAGAAAAATAAGAATGTCAGAGACAGCCATGCTGGAAAGGTACATGTTAACTGTAGACCGCATGTCTTTGTACCTCTTGAATATTAAAATTGTTATCAGGTTCCCTGTCACACCCAAAACAAACAACACAATGCAAATGATAGTAACTGGAATGAGGATTTCAACTTCAAACAATGAAGATGTATTGTCCCCAGTATGGTTTGTAGAACTTCCAGATCTGTTATCTGTATAATTACCACTCATGTCTTCCTCTTGATCTTGCCAAAGACTGCTGTATGATGAACAGTCCGTAGGAATACGCCTCTTAGCCAGTGTTTCCATTAAATGTAGAATCAAAGCATACAATTTGTGTGGTGATCGGTCGACTTGGCACAGTAGAACAATAAGTAGCATCCTTGTTTAAAAATGCCATTAGTAATACGTATTGACAATTTTGCATTGTTCTTACGTGGTTTCTATGCATGGTTCATCCCTTAGGCTTGCTCTCTAATAGGAAATGAGTGCCACTAATGCTCCCATGCATCTCCCCTTTTTTGGTAAAAATGTATTTTAATGTTCAATTAGTAGATTTTAATGTTCAATTAGTGCCCTTTAGTGCTTTAACAGTCCATTAACCTCTGCTAAATCACATTTGTCACAATTTTTGAGTGAGTGTCTTTATTGTGCTTTACATCAAGCATGAAAGATAAATATGCTTTTTTAAGCAATCTACCTTCACTTTCTATCCTTATGATGCTGCCACACCACAGAGGTTTAAAGAGTAATTTAAAAAATGACATGCTCACATAGCAAGCCTAAATTCTCAAATGTCTTTTTTTTTTCTTACAGCTGTGATCTCAGTGCTGTAAAAGATTGGCATTTGAACTGTGACACTTTAGTGCTGATATGTAAGTATGTAAGTTTTGGAGTTCAGTGTAGTGTTTGAAACTAAATTAAGGGTTAATTTAGGTTCAAGAGCTAGGGAGGCCATTTCCGTAGTTCCAACTGTCACTGATTTCGAGGGACTGTCCCTCATCTGTCGCTCTTTCCTCATCATTTGTCCCTCGTTTTGTTCTTATCTATATAGTTGTTTATAAAATGCACTATTTATTTTTCAAAAAGTGTGTTACAGTGCTAAACCTTTCATCCAGTTTCTAAATTACTGCATTTGTAATAATCCAAAGCCAATATAAAGGAGTATTGGTCAGAAAGCTACTTGTGGGTTTAACCAACAATTGTTTGTATAATTCTCCTTTAAGGGGTCATGTCAGGGGGTGTGTCCTATGCCTACATACTTTTGCTAATAGGTGTCCATCACTCCCATCTCAGAAAATGGGAGTTATACATTTAGCTGTAAATTTATGTTAAAAGTAATTCTCATTGTTTTTAAATCTACAGTTTTTTTAAAGTCCTTCTAATCACAAAAACAGAAATTAAAAATTGCAATTCATCAGTCTTTAGATGTGGTGGCTGCATTTGTTTGTGTTTATATGGCTTTTACACCTGGTGATCCTGCCAGTAACACACTTCCTGTCCTAGGGTGACATAGCTTACTCACCATACATTATCTGGGGAGGAGCAAAGGAGTTATCACCCTAGGCTGCTTGAACTACAACCCCTTCCCTTCATTTTCATAACATGGGGGGAGGGGAGTGTTCTGTAGTCCACATAAAATAGATTGTAAAGTTGATAACACTGTTTGAGATTACAGTTCATTACACCGGAAGTGACACTTGATCTCTGGCAGGTATTTTCTATACTTGAGGAAAATGTATGTAGCATGAAAGAAATGAAAATGCAAGGACTGGCGAGCTGCACGTGAAGTTCTGCCCAAGAGGGGATCAAGTCTGCTTTCTTCAGAGCAGAACAACTCCTGCTGCTTCCTTGAAGGTTCATGTAGGCTATGGCATATACGTTTGTCCAGCTAGTTTCTTGGTGGGTGACCTCACAACTGTGCGGTACAACAAAGACAGAACCACCAAAGCACCCTGACTTCCAGGATGCTGAAGGGAGGCCAGGCTTCTTGTACCAATAAGGTATCTAGAACTCATTCACCAGCCTAAAAGGCTGGCACCCTTTATGAGAACTGTACACATCTTTCTAAAGAAGATGTCCCTGTCTTCAGCACCAGACTGGAAATCCGTCATGCCAGGGAGATCCTTGGCTTGCAGGCCAGACACAGGTAGAATCTGTTTGTCCCATGCTGCAGGCACCAATTGAGGGTTGGCCTTGGGATGGTAGGGTCTGGGCACAAGAGCTGTTGGATAGAACTTTCCATCAGGAAAATTGTGGACAGGACCATATTCAATATTAGGCCCAGGTGCTAGATGGTGAGTTGGTTTCAGTGACGACTTCCACAAGTTGAGACTCAAACAGAAGCTGTGCAGAATTTGTATCATCTGTTGGACATTGGATACAGGCATAGGAGGACTGATACTTGAGCAGAAGATCGTCAGAGTAACCTAAATTTATCTTCTGGAAGTAGAGCAGAGCTGAGACTGGGGCAAGCACCTTACAGAAAAATCCAGGGGGCCATAGACAGCACAAAGCTAGAGATGACAAATTGGTAGTGCCGACTGCCCCCACAAAACACAGATAGCTTTGGTATTGTAGGAAAGATAAGAACACACAAGTAAGCCTCCAAGATGTCTACTGAAGCCAGAAAATTCCCCAGAAAGTGGGAGGCATTGACTGGCCTTATTGATTCCATGGAACTTTTGAACCTGCAGAAACAAGTTGAGAGCTTTCTCCTCCATTTGGCATGAAAACTTCGTATATATTTGAGTAAAAACCTTGAAAGTGTTTCTCATTCAGGAAAAGGGCAACGACTCTCTGAAAAAAGAGCTGCTGAAAAAGAGCAAGAAAATGAGACCATCTTAGTGGAGAGTGGGACAAATTTAAAAGCCTGAAGCAGGGAAGAGGCTGAGCCTTTAACTGAAGTTTGCAGCCCCTTGAAATGACGCTCTGGAGTCATAGATCTGAAATATTCTGGAACCAGAAAGCCAAGAGGGCTGACAAATGTCCCATCACTTTACCAAGTGGGGATGCCACTTCTTTGGAAGTATGGTACAGTCTTAAACTTGGAGATGGAGGCTTGAGGGGGATAAAATGAACTTTTTCTAATCTTAGAGATAGAAGATCTAACTGCTGAAGTGTGAGGCATCTTTTTTTGGGTGTGGAGAGTACTCTTGCTTCTTGTGGTCCCTTTGATGCATTTATCCAAGGAGGGACCAAACAGGTGCTCAAAGGGCAGACATTCTAGGTGCTTCTTGCATAGGAGTTCTGCTGACCAGCATTTGAGCCAAAGAATCTACATATGGACAGAGAAAAGACTCATCCTGGAGATTTGGCAGACCATGCCCACAAAGCCATTCACGCAGAAGTGTAAATATATGGATGGAGCTAGGGTCTTGACCCATGCACTTAGTGCAGGCAGCCAGGGTCTGGCAAGCAGCCATAGAAGCAACCAGAGGTTGCATAATAGAGCCTCCTAAGGCACAAAAGGCTTAGGTTGAAGGCTTCTAACCTGTTATACAGTTGTGTTCAAAATAATAGCAGTGTGTTGAAAATAGTGAATAAAGCTCAAAATCCTTCTAATAGCTTTTATTTCCATACACACAAATGCATTGGGAACACTACACATTCTATTCCAAAGCAAAACATGAAGAAAAATGTATCAAATTTGTGTTGTTCCTCTAAAAATATTGAAGAAAAGTGAATATTAGACTGTTCAAAAAAATAGCAGTGTTTGTATTCTTCTTTACAAACTCAAACATTTACTATATAAACTGAAAAATGTTTGAAGATTTTGCTTTCCTTTGAATCACTTAATTAATATTTAGTTGTATAAGCACTGTTTCTGAGAACTGCTGTACATCTGTGTTGCATGGAGTCAACCAACCTCTGGCACCTGTGAACAGGTATTCTAGCCCAGGATGATTGGACTACATTCCACAGTTCTTCTCTATTTCTTGGTTTTGCCTCAGAAACTGCATTTTTGATGTCACCCCACAAGTTTTATATTGGCTTAAGATCCAGGGATTGGGCTGGCCACTCCATAACGTCAATCTTGTTGGTCTGGAACCAAGATGTTGCACGTTTACTGGTGTGTTTGGGGTCGTTGTCTTGTTGGAACACCCATTTCAAGGGCATTTCCTCTTCAGCATAAGGCAGCATGACCTCTTCAAGTATTCTGATGTATTCAAACTGATCCATGATCCCTGGTATGCGATAAATAGGCCCAAGACCGTAGTATGAGAAACATCCCCATATCATGATGCTTGCGCAACCATGCTTCACTGTCTTCACAGTATACTGTGGCTTGAATTCAGTGTTTGGGGGTCGTCTGACAAACTGTCTCTGGCCACTAGACTCAAGAAGATCTTACTTTCATCAGTCCACAAAATGTTGCGCCATTTCTCTTTAGGCCAGTCAATGTGCTCTTTGGCAAATTTTAACCTCTTCAGCACATGTCTTTTTTTCAACAGTGGGACTTTGCAGGGGCTTCTTGCAGATAGCTTGGCTTCACATAGGCGTCTTCTAATTGTAACAGTACTCACAGGTAACTTTAGACCTTCTTTGATCTTCCTGGAGCTGATTGTTGGCTGAGTCCTTGCCATTTTGGCTATTCTTCTATCCATTCGAATGGTAGTTATTCGCTTTCTTCCACGTCTTTCAGGTTTTGCTTGCCATTTTAAAGCATTTGCGATCATATTAGCTGAGCAGCCTATCATTTTCTGCACTTCTTTATATGTTTTCCCCTCTCCAATCAACTTTTTAATCAAGGTACGCTGTTCTTCTGAACAATGTCTGGAAGGACCCATTTTCCTCAGAATTTCAGAGAGAAATGCACTGTAACCAGCATGTACAACATTTGCTGCCTTCCTTCCTTAAATAAGGGCAATAATTGCCACCTGTTTTTCAAAGAATGAATGACCTCACTAATAGAACTCCACACTGCTATTATTTTGAACATTCCCCTTTCAATTAGTGATTCAATTACACAGAATCAGCAGCATGCATTTCATGACTGTTGGGTCTGTTGGATTTCTATTACTCTACTACACCTGCTAGTAAATTATTTGCCATGTAGAAATATCATTTCTACCAAAAACAGTGATTGATCAGGTTAGTGATGTCTGACTGCTATTATTTTGAACACAACTGTATACTGAGTCCTTGAACACAGGATTATTTTTTACAATGATGGTAAGGGTCTTGTTAAGACAAGAGATGGCAGGGTCCCCAACATGAACTTTTAATTT